ATTCTATTCTATTCTATTCTATTCTATTCTATTCTATTCTATTCTATTCATGTTAATCTCTGTTCATATGGGTATTGATTGCTAGTGAGATGTTTTGATCTTTTGGTTTCCTTTTGGTTTCCTCTTTTGAGTGGTATTTAGATATTGTTTATCTCCATATGGCTTTTGATGGTTGATTTTCCTCTGAATACCAGGCCTTCAGAAATTCTTTGGCATTTTAGACTTGAATTGATCTAGGATTTCACAATTTCTCAATTGAAACTATGGTTGAATCTGTCCTTGTGTTATGAACTATGGTTGAATCTGTCCATGTGTTTATTTATTAAACCGTTTAGCTCAAGGATTGGCAAACTATAGGCCTCATGTGTTCCCCAACAATTATTTTGCACCACCAGACAATTTCCAGAAAACATTTATCAAAATTAAGTAGATGACATCATTTTTGCTCAAATAATTAAAATATGTACATAAAGCTCTGGCAAGTACTAATGTGCCAGTTTTGCCAATTAACCCTTCAGATAGATTAAAGTTTTGATTTTTTTCTCTTTTATTCATATAGTCACATTATGCACCATGAATCCTGCCATTCAAATACATGAAAACAAATGACACACAAAATAGCTTCCCAATCCTGGGTCAGGCACTTAAAAACATTAAATGTTTAGGGAATACAAAATTAATTTTTTTCAGTGTGTTTTCAAGTCATAGGCAGACAGATAAAGAGTTTTCTTGTGTCATTTGAAGATAAAATTAAACAATCCCTTTGTGTTTCTCAATTAATTCGTCCCAAAGCATCTTTTAAACAGGCATGATATTCTTCCGATTAAAATCGGAATTCCGATTTTTTTGGGAATCCCCCCTTTCCCCCCCACCCCTTCTTCTCCTCCTTCCCCTCCCCTCGGAGGTCCCGAGTCAGGAGTTGCTGGCGCGGCTCCGCGCGGCTCCAGTCCCGCGTTGCCTCAGGAAGGGAAAGGCAAAAAGGAAGAGCCGCGGCGGCGCTTTGCAATGGCAGCAGCGGCTCCTGGTTTTGCCTTTCCCTTCCCGAGGCAACGCGGGACTGGAGCCGCATGGAGCTGCGCCAGCGGTAGCAACTCCTGACAGCCCCAGCCGGATACCTGAGCGGAGCCCGGGCGGTGCGAGCGGAGGCCACTGAGCGGCAAGAAAAGGGAGCTGGGCCAGCCACAGATCAGCCTCCGTGCAACACGCCACCGCCCGGCCCTGGCGAGGGAAAGCAGCGGGCGCTCCCTGGGCGCACGGCGGGGGGTCTCTTTTGGCCGGCCCCGATTTTTTTTTTAGAGCGGAATATCATGCCTGCTTTTAAAGTTCATTAGTTAGGAGTACTCTGGTGGGCTGATTATAATTTAAATTTGCATCCAGTTTATTTGTTCTTCTTCTCCTTCTCTCAAATTGTAGGGGGAAATTTGCTGTAGTAAAGAAATGTATAAACAGACAGACAGAAAAAGAGTTTGCAGCAAAGTTCATGAGGAAAAGAAGAAAAGGCCAAGACTGTCGAATGGACATAATTCATGAGATTGCAGTCCTGGAATTGGCACAATGCAATCAATGGGTTATTAACTTGCATGAAGTATATGAGACACCAACAGAAATTATTTTGGTTTTGGAATAGTAAGTAATACCTTTTTTTGTCTTAATGTAGCATGTTTGAGCTTTTAATATATGCTTGATGAAATAACTTCAGTTTCCTCTAATTTATTTTGATTTTATCCTGCTTTATCTCTGGAGTTCTGAATCACATCCAAGAAACAGGCAAAATGAACAAAGAAAATGGGAGATGATCATATGAAGTATAGAATAAGGTTTCAGTTTTGAAACAGAAAATTATGTCAGAAATATTAGAGTTTACTAATAGTGGAAGCAAAGTACCCTAGATAAATGGTTTGGATTCTTATTATTTTTTTAAATATTTTTATTAAGATTTAGATAGAAAAATAAAAGATAAATGCAAGCTAAAAAGAAAAAAGGGAATAAAATGTGTGTGTGTGTGTGTGTGTGTGTTGAGGTATTCCCCGTTAAGAGAATGAGTGCACTCAGGGAAACGTTGTGAGAGTGATGTTGAATAACACACAACCAGCATACAGATACACTGAATAGTAAAATGTAGGTTGTACTTCCAGTAAACAGGTAAACAAAGTCCAACAAACAGTCCAAATTATACACGGTTAAAGCAGTTAGTATCAGTCCAGGGATAATCCAAAAACGAAGTCAAGTATCATAAACAGAGTTCAGTAAATGGAGTTTGCTAACAGTTGCAAGACTCACAGCAATCCAAGCAGAACTACGATGAGGCAAAACGGCAATATAGGAAATGCAAGAAGAAACCAGATTTCTGGCTCCATCTTATAGCCGTTGGAGGAACCTCAGCTAATCACACTTACAGCATTCTCTTAAAGATACAGTATTAAATTACTATCCTGCTTTATATATTTCCAACCCAACTGTTAGGTGACTATCATTCCTTACAGTGTGTGTGTCCTCAAGAATGCAACTTCCCATCTTCCTCATGACAAATAAAAACAAAACATCATGGCAAATAATAACAATTTCACAATCTCTTCACTTTTTCTTAATTAAAAAATATAACTTTTCATCTTACAATGTATCTGTTAACAATAAGCAAATCATTAAATAAATAAATCTTTTCCAATCCAATTATCAGCAAAAAGCTTAGAACTCTGAAATATTAACTGATCAGTTGCTGTTAGTATAAAGGAAGAGTTTCCTTTTTTCCCTCTTCTTTGTGTGTTCTGTATACTGTTTAATTTACCTCATTATGTTCCTGTGTTCTATATATATAAAAAACAAAACCCAACTACAATACAGGTAATAGCAATAGCACTTATATACCCCTTCACAGTGCTTTTACAGCTGTCTCAAAGTGGTTTACTGTGTCAGCATATTGCCCCCCAACAATCTGGGTCCTCATTTTACTGACATGACATAATTGGGACTTAAATTTCGGTTGTTAAACAGCACAATCATTAAGTTAGTCATCACATGACTAGACCCAATTGTACAACCGTTTTTATTATGGTCATTAAGTAAATCATACAGTCATTAAGCGAATCTTTTCCACACATTACTTTTGCTTATTAGAAGCCAAGTCTGGAAAGGTCACTAAGACTGTTCACATGATTCTGGGATATTGCAACGGTCATAATTGCAAGCTAGTTGCCAAGCACCCGAACTGTGTTATATGACCTCAGAATGGTGCAACAGCTATAACTTTGAGGATGGATTGTAAGTCACTTTTACTGAGGCTATCTTTACCTCTAATCATTGTTAAACAGATTAGGAACACAAGTTAAAATAGGGAAGAAAATGGTAAGTGAACACTTGTCTACCCTAGACGAGTTCAAATCATCAGGACCAATGGATTACACCCCAAGGTTCTGAAGAACTGGCAGATGTGATCTCAGAACCACTGAACTAATTATTTCAAAGATCCTGAAGCACCAGGAAACTGCCAGAGGACTGGAAAAGAGCTGATGTAGTTCCCATATTCAAAAAAGGAAAAAAATAGATCCAGGAAACTACAGACCCATCAGCCTGACTTCAATACCAGGGAAGATTCTGGAAAAGATAAGCAATGAATCAGCAAACACCTAGAAGCAAACAAAGTAATAACCAAAAGCCAACATGGGTTTGTCAAAAACAGATCATGCCAGACTAATCTTATTGCATTCTTGGACAAAATTAGTTGACCAGAGGAATGCTGTCGATATAATTTACTTGGACTTCAGTAAGGTATTTAACAAGGTAGACCCCAACTAACCTAAAGAACGGTTGCTGGAACTGGGTATGTCTAGTCTTATGAAAAGAAGGACTAGGGGTGACATGATAGCAGTGTTCCAATATCTACGGGGCTGCCACAAAGAAGAGGGAGTCAAACTATTCTCCAAAGCACTTGAGGGTAGAACAAGAAGCAATGGGTGGAAACTAATCAAGGTGAGAAGCAACTTAGAACTAAGGAGAAATTTCCTGACAGAACAATTAATCAGTGGAACAACTTGCCTCCAGAAGTTGTAAATGCTCCAACACTGGAAGTTTTTAAAAAGAGATTAGATAACCATTTATCTGAAATGGTGTAGGGTTTCCTCCCTAAGCAAGGGGTTGGACTAGAAAACCTCCAAGATTACTTCCAACTCTGTTATTCTAATAGATATAATGTCTCCATAGAACATTATTCCTCCTTGTTTCTTCTCCCTTCTCTCTTCCTTTCCAGCTAGCAGATAAATAGTTACTGATGGGGGAGGGAGTAAACAAGGAAATGTGGGACTGGCCTGGAAACTGTCATGGAATGTTGAAAATGATGATCCCATGATTGCAGCAGCAGTTTAGTAAGAGCAGGTAGAACTAAAACAGCTACAACTTTCTTTAATGTCATTCCTTTGGGAATAGTGGTCCTGGATTTTGAAGATATTCTGTAAATTAGCCCATTTGAAGTACTTTGGATCAAAAATAGTTTTTCTAGAATATACTGTTTAACTCAGCTAGAGGTCATGACAATGGGAGTTTTAGTAATATATTGATATTGATATTTATCATATTAAAATTTGAAACTGAGAATTTTTTCAATGTTTATTTGATCTTATGAATCCTCTGAATTAGGTAGCGCAGACCAGAAAATCTCCACAAGAAGGGTAAAACTATTTCTATAAAAACAGAAGCTTGGAGGTCTAATAAAACTTCCTCCTCCTCTTATTTATTAAATTAGGGAAGCATTTGCCACTTCTGAATGTTGCTTCATTTGTGCCCCAAAAATGCTTCAGTTCCTTTTATATAACCAATGGATCTTGAGAATTTACTTTAAAATCGTCTAGTTCTAACCCTAACCCTTAATTTATATATAGCCTCAATAGCTGATTCTAGATATGATTCTACTATGCACAACTCGGCTAATGTTAGTAAAGTGAAATATTAACATGATATTAAGTGAAGAAGGTAAATGGTCACCTGATACCTAACTTGAACATACTACATTGAGTCTCAGTATCTCTGTCTGTCTCTGTCTCTCTCTCTCATAATTTGACTTCTATGTCGCCCATTTTGCTGAGATATCTCTAGGCGGCTTATAGTCAAAAAATAAAAAATACCACACAAAACATTAAAACAATAAATAAGAATCATACATTTAAAAATTCAGGTATAATCAGTCTATGATCTGCCAAATTCAATTTAAAGTATGTGGTAAGATTGGGCTCAAATATTTAAATGTTGCCCCCCAACACTATCTAACAGATTAAGATTATTCAGAGAGGCATTGCTTGTAGTTCCACTGGATAATTTTTTTAAATTCATTATAAGCCAATTCTGAGCTTCTCTAGAAAGAAGAGTATATTAGTTAATTGCCTTATTTCTAGAAAAAGCCCTCTCTATACCACTTCTTATACAGAGGGAAGGAAAAAGTTTGATTGCAGCATAGCATAGTCACTGCTCGTTTTAAAGAGAACTGTTACTTGTCATGTCTAGATAAATTATTTTAACATCGGAAGGATTTAAGCAAACTGATTATTTGATTAACTTTTATTTTCAGAATTGTCTTTTGAAGATTAGGATATGTGATTTAAAGTTGAAAACAATATTTGGTTTAGGAAGATTTTTAAAAATAAATATTGCTTGAATGAGATATTGCAAGGAGTGTTTCTCTGGTAGAAACTTTATACTTCTTAAATTTTCTAAAGACAACTCATGCATAAAAATACATTTTTGTAGAAATTTATTTTTAATTTTTATATCAGGTTTAGTTAATTCTTTATTATATAATTGATTTGCTGTTGAATTTTGCTATTAAGTGTTTTGATTTCCATGGATGTATTTTTATTTGAATTTTAATATTTTCATTGAAATGTTTTAACTTATTAAAATAATCTGAAGCATAATTTGTAATATAAAGATGAGATATAAATGTAATTAACAGTGAATAATTGGAAATTATAAACAAGTATTCTTATTCTCAGTGCTGCTGGGGGAGAAATCTTTGACCAGTGTGTAGCTGAAAGAGAAAATGCCTTCAAGGAAAAAGATGTTAAGCATCTCATGAGGCAGATTTTACAAGGAGTTTCCTTTTTACATCAAAACAATATAGTTCATCTTGACTTGAAGGTAAGGTTATTACCATCTGAAGAATTGAAGCAATATTAAGAATCCATTTATCTCATAAGCTCTTCATTATATTAAAAGTTTTATTTTTTTAGGTGTTCTGATTGCTTATTTTGAAGAATACATTGTGACATTTTAGAGGTTTTGATTTTTGGTGGAAAAGACTTCTGCCTACAATAGAACTTCCGGTCACTATCATAATCCATTCCATGACTTTGGTCACAACCCAATTTGGTCGTGACCGGAAACGAGACTGACTGTGTATGTGTGTAAAAAAAAATGCCATGGAAGGGGAAATAGGCATGACTGTGTTTGATCGCCATCCAAGTATTAGTTCATGACCAGATGCAAATTTTTCTGAAATGTTTGGTCATCACCCAATTTGGATGTGGTCAAAAGCACTCATGACCAGGGGTTCTACTATATTTAGGAACATCTTTTACCTTGCCAAACTGTTCTTCAGTTGACCCCGAGTATGTACTGCAGGTTATGTTATCTCTGTTTTTTTTCCTGATGGTCAGTTATACATCCAAATATAATGTTACGCAATTGTATAGAGCTTGGACTAAGAATTTTCTAATATCACATATTTTGGTACATATTCGTTGTGCACACATGAACCAGCTTTTGCTTTGTTCCTCAGTTTCTTGAAACACTAATAGGAAACCTGGCATACCTGCCAGTTCAGGTACCTGCAGAAGGGAAGGGGACATATTTATGTAAATGCAGATAAAAAAACTACAATTTTAGATAAATAATTTAATCTACATGATTTTTGACTATTATATGTATGGGGTAATTAATGTTTACCTCCCATGTGATAAGGCAGTGCATCAAGCCAAATAAGTTTTTTCCCCGAAAGCCATCACTCTGTTAAATAAATAATTCCCTCAACACTGTTCAACTATTTACAAAGTGTACACTATTATTACTTTTAATCTTCTCACCACTCCTTATCACCCATCCCTTCCCACTTGACTGTTTCCTAGTATGATTTGATTGTTGATTGTACCCTATGACTATCATTAAGTTAAGTTATGATTCTTGATTCTTAAAGAATGTACCTTTTCTTTATGTATACTGAGAGTATTTACACCAAGACAAATTCCTTGTGTGTCCAATCACACTTGGCCAATAAAGTATTCTATTCTATTCTATTCTGTTCTGTTCTATTCTAGAAGGATTAAAACAAAAACAAAAAAAATAACATGAGTATCTATTCCTACTAATGCTTGAAACTGTAGTGCTATCTTGCAGTGGTTTGATTACGGGATGTTATATAATGGAAAATGATAATGCATTTATTTTAGTCTGGTTCCTAGACGAATTGATGCCAGATGATCTACAATGTTACAAATTAATATTATTTCTGAGCAAAGCATTTGTAAGGACAAGCAAAGTCTACTTTGATTCCCCAAATAAGATAACCAATAATATATTACAATGCTGTGCCACAGAAGCTAAAGAAGATTGCACATCCAGAAAATGCAAGAAACTTCATGTCACAAAAGGGAGGCAGAAGAGATATGTGCAATATTGGTATATGGGAAGATCCATGATCATCTTAGGGAAAACAATAGTATCTAGTGTGAAAACCAACTTTTCCTTTGGAATTTCAAATAGTTTCATCAATTTTGCTATCATAACATAACATTGGTATAAAAACATTGTTTTCAGTATCAATATCCAGAGATCCAGTTACCAGTGATTTGAATGTTAGGACAAAAAAGATATATAAGAGTATAATCTTGCTGTAGGACATAAGGCATTATTATTATGGTTCGTTGTATAGTCAGATTTGGCGTTTTGTTCTTGCTTCTTAGCACACATTACTGAGCAGCATTTGTGGGAGCCCTTTGAGGAGCTTCTCTGTGGGTAGGACTCAGCAACTGAATAGCAAATCAAGCTGTTCCCATTCTGCCACTTGGAAATCTCATGACATCATCACTGGATGAATACCTGGAAATTTTACAGATATACCAGCAATTTTTAAACTAAGTTCGCAATGTGCCTTTTTATTATTTTCCATCTTGGGATTTATAGCATCATGTAAGCTTTTGTTTCAAAGTTTAGGCCTAAAGATTTAGGCCTAAGGACCAATATTTACATTGGTAAAAAGTGTATGCTTTACATAATTACAGGTTTTGCTGTCTATAACAAATTACATTTAATTTGGAAAATGAGACTTAAGCAGGGGTGGGATTCTATTGGTTCAATAAAACAGCTGAAGCGCGGCAAACCACACTGCCGTGTGAATCAGCTGTGCTAGTCTACTTCTTTATTTTCCTTTTTAAAAGTTACCGAATATTTTAGTTTGCCATATTAAATAAAAAAGGAATAAAAACTGATAAAAACAAATCTTAAATGTCATTGCCCCTTCAAATGCCCCACAATTGTTTTATTTTCTGAATGGATGTATGACTGAGTTAATTATATTGGAATAATTGGTTAATCTTCTCAGGAATCATTTTTGTCACTTGGTAAAATTATGTAGGCATTACAAAGTACATGAAACCACCACTAGTAAACATGCAGTGAGCAATTAGGAAGACCACATGACTGAGCAAAACAAACCTTGGTGTGAAGAAACTTAGCTATCAAATATAGGGAGACATTTAAATATAGGGATGGCAATTTATAGTATTTGTGAAGTTGTTTGTGGATGTGGTTTTTTTTTAAGTTTAGTCTTTAGGATTTGTGACAATGAAGTTGCAGAATCATAGAATAACAGTGTTGGAAGGGAACTTGGAGGTCATCTAGTCCAACTTCCTGCTCAAGCAGGAGAGTCTATTCCAAATATTAGCCTCTACCTAGGATCGAACTCACAGCCTCCTGATTGCGAGGCAAGAGCTCCACCTCTAGGCCACACACAGAGCATTTTCCATTCATAGTTTCCTGTAATTCAGTATTGGTGGCAGGAATGCATACAGCAGCAGCTTTTTTCTTTGTGCAGAATGGCAATCCCCTTGGGCTTAGGTTGTGGCCCTGCTCAGCTGCAACATTGGGATTATTGTATATTGCCTCTGATCAATTCCTTCAGGTGACAAAGAGATTATTAACAATATGGAGATGAATCATCCACACGGACAATACAGAATTGTAGTAGATTGAAATATATCAGTTGATATATACCAGTTGATTGAAATATATCTATTATACAATGCTTGAGCAAGCACTGGCAAAGTAAATTAACAACTTCAGAGATGATACTCAGAAAAGCCCATCAAGTGAAGGGGTAACATTGGAAAGAAGACCATGATCTGTTAAAAATCAGTTAAAAGTAATTTATAGTATCCTGTTATTAACTCTAGTGAAATAAAGAATTACCATTGTAGTAACTAAAAAAAAAAGTAGCTCCATATTGAACTGTGGAGTCCTTGGTGGACTTTGAGCTTAGTTGTTGTTGCTGTTGTTTTGTAGATACTTTGTCACCCAACTAGGTAACATCTTCAGTGCTAGAAAGTTACTGAAACATCTGCAAGAAAACATATTTTCAGATAGTCCAAGGACACCACGGTTGTCATTGAGCTGTTCATACAGATAAATCATTTCTAAATAACCTTAATCACAGTGTAGAGTTGATTTCAAACCACTTTGGCAAGGAAGAAAGTACTATGCTAATAAGAAATAAAGCCTTCATTTGGATTGAGACCAGGATATTTATATACTGTTTTGGAAGAATTACAGAATGACTTTTTTGAATTGACACAAAGATTAGGCACAGAGTATTTAAAGAGTGCTATTGCGGAGATATGTTGGAAATAATTGAATTGACATTGCAGGACACTTAGCTGAATATATTGTTTGAAACTTAATGTTAACTACATTAGAAATGTTGATGAACCTCACTCAAGCTCTAGTAAGTGCACAGTGTAAAGTTGTAGCATAAAAAGAGAAAACTACTGATTTCTCAAAACAGCCTGGGGAAAGTATTATCAGCATATATAATTGATACTCTGTCAGATTCAAACTTCTTAGCTTTCAAAAGAGATTCTTGGTGATGATCAGATAATTACAAGACTATTCCAGAATATTCACAATCCTACAAAGCTTGATCTGAACTATAAACTTGAGGAACAACTGAAGACATTGGAAATAAATATTGGAATTGTTGTATGGTAATAATTAAGGTAGTGTACTAAGAAAGGCAAGCCCACAGTTGCCTGAACAGATACTGTAATGATTGTTCAGGACAAATAATACACAAAATAATTTTTGGTTCACATAATCATCTTAAATTGATGATGGAGCAGACATAAATTAATGAATGCTAGACTTGACAGCAGTGACATTTGTCCTAAATAGGTGGCTAGAAATATAAATAACATATGGTAAAATCTAAAGCTTTGGTGGGAAGACATGTTACATGCCTGCTAAGAAATGGTTAAACGATTTTCCAGTAAGCTTATTTCCTTTTATATATTTTTAGCCGCAAAACATTTTGTTAACTTATGAATCACCTTTGGGAGAAATTCGGATAGTTGACTTTGGACTTTCCAGAATAATGAGAAATAATGAAGAATTAAGAGAAATTATGGGAACACCTGAATATGTTGGTATGTTTGTTATTTATGTGATCTTCAGAGCAAATAACTTACAGCATATAATGCAAACATTTGAGTTATGTGATATTTATCAGAATTTAAGCTTTGAATGTTTCAGATCTTACAATATTCAATTTCTATTCCAATAGAAAATCAGAAGAACAAATAAAACTTTTTCACTGTTTGTGTAAGCATAACCTGCATTCATTACTTAGCATTACATTGCCTAGATTGCATTAGATTCTTGCAGCCAGGCTGGCAAAGCAGATTTTCCAGTCATCTCTTTCCCAAGGTAACAATAGCAATTACACTTAGACTTATATATTGTCCTATAGTGTTTTACAGCACTCTCTGGGCAGTTTACAACATCAACATATTGTCCCCCACAATCTCGATCCTCATTTTACTGATCTCTGAAGAATAGAAGGCTGAGTCAACCTTAAGCCCATCAGGATTGAATTTTAGAATATGGGCAGAGTTACAGCATTCTAACCACTGCACAACCAGGGTTGTTGTAAGATAGTACCTCTAATTCTGTAAAAATGCTTTGCAGAATGTTGAAAGCATTTTATATGCTTATAAGGAAGGAGACTCATGCAAAATCAAGTAATGGCACCTTCACTAGCATCCATTCCTGATATTGAGTTTTTGGAGACTCTCCTTAACAAAATATGTCCCAGTACTATATTTCTTAGAAATCTCAAAAAAGATAGTAAAATACTAATCAGCCATGATCACAATAAGAAAATAATTAGGTTATAATAAATTGTTTCCAGAAAGCAATTAGTTTATTTTTAAAAGCAATTAGTTTATTTTTAATATTCAAGATTTATTACGTTTGATGTTTTGTATGCAATTTGCCTTTGAATGTAAATAAAATTTGATTAGCATATTACATTTCAACTTACATCTCCAAATGAAGTTTATCTATTCTGTTTATTCTTTTCACATTATTATGTTTCAGTTATCAGTGGCAAAGGCTGAATAATTAGTTTCTACCAACTAAATTGCATATGTCAAAAGAAATACACCATCTCTTTGCCATCTCATTGCTGGCAATTTTATACTTAACTATATTGTTTTCTAATAGCTTACCTGTATATTTTTCTAATAGCTCCAGAAATTCTAAGCTATGAGCCAATCAGTACTGCAACAGATATGTGGTAAGAAAAACTCTTTATTGAAATGTTAATTCAAAACCCACATATTATTCTCTCATGAAACTTATATATTTTTATTTTCTTTTTCTATTTAGGAGCATTGGAGTATTAACATATGTCATGCTAACAGGAGTATCACCTTTTTTGGGGAATGATAAACAAGAAACATTCTTAAATATATCTCAGATAAATGTAAATTATTCTGAAGATTTTGATCTTGTATCTGAACCTGCAGTAGATTTCATCAAATCTCTTTTGATTAAAAAACCTGAGTAAGATGTATTTCAGTTATTTTGCTTTGAGTATTAACCTATGCAAATGAAAAATAAGAATTGAAAATATAAATGTTTATTTAAGTTATATTACTCTTGGCTTGAACAATGTCATCTCATGTGATTTTGCATTAGCAGTGAATTTAGCTAGACTGATTCTGATGATTAAACTGGAAATATCTAACTTATAGGTATGATTTTAATATATGTAATTAACTTTTCTGGAGGGAGATTCACAAGTTCGTGTCACGGCTATTGTGATATAATCTGTTTACTTCATCGTAAAATAAAAAAATAAGCTGTGATGAAAATGTAAGTTTTTAAGAAAGAATTTGATTACTTGCAATAGTTTGTGTCCTAATGTTTGGAAAACATGTTTTATGTGAAGTTGAAATATTCTCAAAGCTACCAGGATCCCAGAGAGCTGTTTTCTCCCAAATGATCAAAATGTTGACCCAGATAAAATAAATGTCATAACTTCACTATTAAATTATTATTAGTTGTGATTTATGTGATATTCAAATTATACAGTCTAATTTAGTATATAATTTACAGTAGAAGTCAATTTTTAAAATAATGTGAAATAGATTTTGAATGTGATTTTAAGCCTTAAAATTTTGTAGTCAGACTCTTTAAGTCAATTTCTTTCTTTTTCTGTTTAGGAAAAGGGCAACGGCAGAAGAATGTTTGCTGCATTCTTGGCTGGCTCAAACTGATATTCCTGATAAAATAAGCTGTATTAAAAACACAGAAGATGAAACAAATGGTGTTACTGTAAATGATGTGTCTATATCTGAAAATTCTACAAGTGGAGGAAAAACAGAAGAACCAGTAGTAAAAGAACGTATTTTAAAGGCTTCCTATACACTGGGTCAATGCAGGCAATCAAAAAAAGATAAAATTGTTACACACAAAACTATTTCAAAACTATTTAAATTTAAGGAACCATTTCTCCATGAAATACCTGGAGTTTACTGAAAATACTGAATACCTGCAATTGACCGAATTGCAGCTTGTTTCTGCTTTGAGCCCTAATGTGTAAGATTGACTCTTTTCTCTTAGATCAGTTAAATGCAGCTAAATAACATTCATAAAAGATGTTCTTGTAGAAGGAAAATGTCTACCAAACACCTTAATTTTCTATTTTCTATGGAATTGATATTATTTGAAATACTTAACACAGAGAAAAACTGAAAACATTAGTTTATTTTAAAATATGCAAAAATGTATACATGCAAAACATTATATATAAGCTTTCAGCTTCCAAATTTCTAGTATATACGTTCTTTCAGTTTCCAAATTTCATAATTTAATATTTCTGAGAAATTTAATTTTAATGTTTGCCATTGAGAAAAGAGAAAGTTCTTTTGACATATGTATATTAGTTTTGGTATTTAATCCATATAATTATCATTTGATGACCAATAGTGCTGTTCTAATGTATTTTTAGTTTCTAGTATATTTAGAAAGACTTGTAGCTAAGTTGGCCAGTGGGTTTTTACTGGTCCTATTTAAACTATTCAGTCACTAAGTAAGATGTTTTTTATTTTACTTCAACACTCCTAGTTTATCAAGATATTTTATTTTCTTTAAAAAAACTGATCAGAATAGGTATACACTATTCTTGTTACTTCGCAGATTATTTTTTTCTATCTAATTATAAAGAGATAGGTGTGCTATAAGTCAAAGAATGAAAGACCCCTAGAAACCCACATATGCAGAATGTACATCAAGCAGTTCATCATCAATTACTTCTTAAAATTTGTATTTTACATTCTTCCTGAAAAGTGCTTTATAATAGACTTAGTAACAGTTTTGGTAATAATAGTACAAATTTATTTCAGAACTACGTTTAGATTATATGATTCAAACTACCATGTTTCCCCGAAAATATGACCCACCCCGAAAAAAAGCCCTATCATTTTAATGCATGCGCTAAAATTAAGCCCTATCCCCAAAATTAGCCCTAATTAAGACCCCGCCCACCCTAGCTGCAGGGGGTTGGGTGAGGCACATAGTAAACATTAAGCTAGGATGGAGATGGGAGAGTGGAGCTGCCCTACTTACCAGGCTTCGCACATCCCAACACTTACATCGCCACTTCTGCAGCTGGTTACCGCTGCTCTCACGCATCACCCCCAGCTTCCAGTTCGCCATGAGGCCTTCTGGAAAGCTCTCTGCAGCTGAAAACAGGCTCTGGATTGATGCACATGCCCCCCCCCCCCCCGGCTTCCATTTCACCTTCAGATGTCTTCGGGAAAGCCCTCTTTAGCTGATAAGAGCACGTGTGAATCTGGAGCCTGTTTTCTGGAAGGCTCTGATGGTGAAATGGAGGCTGTGGGCGATGTGTGTAAGTGGTGTCAAGTGGCTGCAAAAGAAGTGGGCTGGCAGCAGACTCCTGCTGGGTAGAGCTGTTGATGCCATTGCCACAAAGTGAATTAGATCCACAAACAAACAAAAAAAGCGCCCTAGCTATTTTTTTTGGGGGGGGGGTGTCAAAAGAAAATAAGACCCGGTCATATTTTCGGGGAAAGACGGCATATATTAATTAAAGTTTCTGTAAAATTTCAACATTAGTGCACTACAAGATTGGAAGAAATGTTAAATATGAAGATAGTTTTTATATTAATATTAATATTTTATATTAATATTTATATTTATATTAAGTATAAATACAAGTTTCTGACTTCATATTACTTTATAAGAAATTGTAAGGATCTAGCAGTTAAAGTTCTCAAAAGTTGAAAATGGAATTTCAAGGGAAACATTTGTGTTTGTGTATATCCATATTTCAATTCAAGTGCATTCTTAATATATATTTTTTCTTAGCTCGTGGTTGTAAACCTGAAAGGAACTAAAGGCTTTCACAATTATGAGTTACCTATATACAATGAAACCATGATTTATTGTAGCTGGATAAAGAGGATGTCTATTATTTTAAATTGCATATAAATTGAACATTATGTCAACCATAGTAAGATCATTACACAAGTGATGTAAATTGTGTTATTTGTATTATTTTTGTTATGTGATTATAAAACAATGAAAATTTACCTATGTTTGCAATGGAACCTGCCCATTATGATTACATGTTGTAAGACAGTCTCACTATACAGCCCCTTTCCCTTCTCTCCCTGAAGTGCTCATTAAACAATCTAATCATTTCTTCTAGGCAACTCCTACTTGGAAGTATAGATAAGGACTTACACTCTAGATACTTTGGACATAAATGCAGCATAGTCAACAGAAAAAAAAATCCTTTAGAATACAGGAGTACTTTATAAAGTGTTATAAACAGTAAATAAGTGCCATGTCTTTAAATAGCTAAGCGTTTGTGCAAAATTGTGATACATGCACTATGATTATATAAATCTGTAGTGCCTTTAAATTTATAGCCCAATTAGGTTCTTCCATTGATCAATATAAAAAATATTTTTTAAATGTGGTAATGTGGTTTTTCTGATTCTTTAATCATCTTTAGAAATTTGCATATAATTTTTCTTCAACTCTTCAAAGAGGAATATTCATAATGTTTTAAGGACATGTTCAATTCTGAAGTTGTTTCCTGCTTTCCAGTTAAGAGAAAAAGGTCATCCCAAAAAGTTTCTATTAAATAATACTAAGACTTAATTGCTTCATAACTTTTGCTATGCCTTAGTTGAAAAAGTATCTCCATCACTAATAATAGCAGTATTGTTTTACTAGTATAGTCCTGAAAACCAAGAGTACACTTTCATAAGAGACAACTTTTTGGTAGTTCAACTCTAAATCATCTATTACGTATTAACTTTCACAAAATCAATGAGACTATGCCAAACTCCTAATTGATTTTGCAGTTGTGTCATTCGTTTCATCAAATTCATTACTATAATTGTTCTCTGAAGTATCAATATATAATTGGAATTCACTTAAATTCACAAGGAATCATCATTGACTTAAGTTTAAATTCCACTTCCTTTTTTTCAGCAAAGCTTAGTAACTAGTACTCAATTATAAAAAATATTTTTTATTCATAATTAAAAAAAATTGGGCTTCCAAAACTATATTTGATTTGTTTGGTAATTGAGACAATAATTACACTGAAAAGCATTAGCAGTTGAATTAAGAATTAATTTCCAGAATATTAGCTACACTGCTCGAGCTGACAAATGAGAATACAATACTTTCTCTGATATGTATGAAATACAATACTTTCTCTAATATGTATGAAATATATTTTTGCCATTTTGTAAGCAATATCAAACCACTGTTAATAAAGGAATTTGTTTTAATAAAAGGATTGGTTCTCTATCTTGTATATTCTATGGAAAGCAATGTAGCGTGATCAAATTTCTCTGGATAAAATATTTTACACCAGTAGGCACTATTTTTAATATGAGAGCTATTTCTTCTTATTTAATTATATCTTTAAGATATAGTGGCAGTATTACAACTACAGATTACCTTAATGTTCAGAGGCCAATATTAGGCTAATAAAGGCATAATGAAGAACAAAAGCAATGAATCTTGCTTTTTCTCAAGTATTGTGTCCTCTTTGCAACAATGCAGAGAAAATAAACAATGTTGTAAATTATACTAGTAGCTCTCAATCACCCAAAATATTTTATGAGTAAGAATAGATATGGAACAAAATACCCTTATTTCCATTCAACATTAAGGGAGATAAGTTGGCCAAGGCTAGCAAATGTTTCCAAGGCAGAAAGAGTAGCTTACCATTGTTCCTTGAGCTCAGATTTATAAATGAATTAAGACACAACTTTCATTTAATGACGACAGAATATAGATATGTGGGATATAGCAAGTTTTGTACCTCTCCCTGTTTAACATCTGTTGGGTAACTTTTATTGCCTCGGAGTGAAGTATCATGTGCTCATGAAAAATAATGAGATAGCTCCACCCTGGCAATGCTGTTGATGCCAGGCTTCAAGTGTCTAGAAAAGGGAACAATAGGTTTCAACTGAACCTTGGCAAAACTGAGTGGGTCTAAACTTTGTGCTTCTGGATCTGGGACTTTACCATCTTTGTTACTAGAGTTACTTCAGACAGACATGATTGCACAATCTGGGGGTCCTTCTAGACTCATGACTACTGCTTGAGGAAGTGGTACTCGTGGTTAGGATGGTCTTTGTACATATTTGTGTTTTCTGGATCCTGAAACTGCTCATAGTCACTCATGCCCTGGTCATTTCTGAAATGTGCTGTATATGGCACTGCTCTTGAAAAATATCCAGAAGCTTAAAATCAGTGCAGAATGTGGCTACATGCCCCTAGGTTGTGTCAATCTCCCAAGTAGACAAGGAAACATGACGAGTTAATTCTACTTTATTATATGGCTACATAAACAGATCTTTTTAATCTGAAAATCCAAACCTCCTGCCATCTCTTCACATAATTTTATTTTTTTAAAGTTTTTAATAGCTGTGCCATTTTAATTTGTTTTAATGCTTCCCAGAGTTATATTCAGTGAGATTGACAGACATATCAATTTGTTACATAAATAATTGTAGATCTGCCTAGAGAACTATCTCTGAGTATGACAGGTTTTACTGTCTAACTACATTATTTAGGAGATCAGTACACTATTTATTTAAACTTGGATACTTAGAGGTAAGCATATGTGTTTGTAAATATGATATATGATTGATGTTAGTATGGAGGACAAGTCCAAAACTTGCCTAAAATGACAATATTTTGGCCAATTTAGTACACTTACAAACATTCTAGTATTTTTTTCCCTTATGGCTATTTTTATGTGCCCATACATATAAAGTATAACACTGTATTTGTGTAAAATATTTTATTTTCAAGTGTACTAAAACTTTTTCTCCTAAAACTTATACAGGTAGTCTTGATTTACAACCATTCATTTGGTGAGTTTTCAAGGTTACAATGGGCACTAAAAAAATGACTTATGACTGTTTTTCACAGGACCATTGCAGCATGCTCATGGTCACATGATCAAATTCGGATGCTTGGCAGTTGGTTCATATGTATGATGATTGCAGTTTGGGTCATTTGATCACCTTTTGTGACCTGATAAGCAAAGTCAATGGGGAAGTCAGATTCACTTAACTATGTTACTAACTTAACAATTACAGTGATTCACTTAACAGCTGTAGCAAGTAAGGTAGTAAAATGGATAAATTCACTTAATGGTCTCGCTTAGCAACAGAATTTTTGAGCTGTACATTGTATGATGCATAACTACTCAGAATGTATTAAGCATATTTCTATTTCACCACAATCCAAACAAAGTTGGACTTGAACATCTCCTGAAAGTAAGAAATCTTTCAGAACATTTTTAATTAATATATTCTGTGTCTTTATTAGGCATTCAAAATCTTATTCATATTATTATACTAAATCCTGCCTATTAATTGTGGAAGAGGAACACAGGTGACAATATAGCAACTGAATACTGCTATGGTTGTGTTGGGAGCACTAAAGCACTTCCAAGTTAAAAAGATTGAATGGTAATATCACCGGTGTCCAGGGAACACCCAGTTGGGGACTCATGTCCCCATTAAGATGCCCACCGATGTAGTACCCATCTATGTACTTTCGGTCGCCAGCTTTTGAACTGCTGGGTCAGGAGGAGCTGGAGGATATGATGGGAGTTCATTCCACCTCATGGAAGCACTGGGTCACAATTGTGAGACTGCCAATCATCAGCCCAGTATCCTAGCCATGTGATTCACCACACTTCTAGCAATTGAATATTATTTTTTAAAAGAAAAGAAATTGTATGATCCATATACTAAATACTATATTCAAAGGTTTTTACCTATTTCTTTGACTACAGAGTGCATTTTAGTGCTTAAGACAAGTAGCTTTTATTTGTTTTTAATTTTTATTGTTAGATTTGTATATCCCGTTCAAGAGGTTAATGGAATATATACAGCATAGTCTCCTCTACATTACATTTTTGTGATGCAGGTTGGTCTGAAATAGAATGATGGCCCAAAATTATTCAGCGAGTTTCCATGGTTGAGAGTCTCCTACTTTAACACATTGCTTGCTAAACCATACTGGCTCATTTATAAAATACCTGAAATCAAACACTATTTAGAGAAAGCATTTTGGATCTTACAAAAGTATATGAGTACAGCACTGTTCAGCTACTAACTAAAGCAGTCATTCCTTTTTCAAGCTCCCACATCAGCCTAGAAAAATACTTGACAATTTTAATAACCTATATTATTAACATGATTTAATATCTTTTTTCAGGCTCCCAGAGAATACTACAGAAAAACATAGTTGCTTCAATGAATAGTAAGCAGATGCTGTGCTCAAGCAAAGTATGAAACATTAATCCCAAATTATTTTTAAGCATACACAGCCCTGATATCTGGGAAATATATGTAAATTATTTTAAAATTGGACAGGATATAAAAATCCAAGCCAATTAAAATCTAGATATATTATCACCCTTCACCTGTTTCAGTCTAAACCTCAAAGGGTCAATTAAGCAGTGTCATTTTGTGGCACCCAGGAAGCGTATTTCCTCAGTGATGGTTCCTGCCCAAGGAATTATATAGCCATAAAGATCTGAATTGCTTCTACTCTTTGACTCTGCAAATTGTTAAGGACTTGGTTGCAAGGATGATGGTCAACTATCACCCCATGGCGTTGTTTTTTTATTCTGTCCTTTATTCAGTTACATTCTTGTCTCTATGTAATTTCATTTTACATTTCTTTTACATTTGTAACTCTAAGCCACTCAGAGTAATTGTGAAGGCAGGCGGCCTTAAACTTTAAATAATAAATAAATGGTTCATATGTTTTGGATGTCCATAAGAATCTTTATTTAATTTGAATATATTAATACAAATAATAATAATAACTCAGTTCTCTATATTACGTATATTATCCAGAAATAGTCTTCACAGAAGAGACGTACACTGGAATTCTGTGGCCATTGCAGAGCTGTAGTGTGACTTCCTGTAGATTCCAGCTGACACAAAAATTTGTTAGAAATCATATAGTTGAATATGGTAGAAATAGAATAGTTAAGATTTTAACCTAAAATAGGTTCATTGCTGCAGTCCTCCTATACATCATTTGTTTTAAGGTCTTTTAGGTAAATACTATTAAGGATAACAAACCATTGATTTTATTTTTAAGAAGCTTTAAATTGTTGATATTTCTAGTGAACTAAGTTTTTTTTAATTTACTTATTTTTGTAGTGCCCAATCTGGTTTCCAATTACTATCTCAGAAAACTATATAGTCTAGAGGCAAATCAGTGAAAACCTATGGTAGTAGGTAGATAAGGTATAACATTGCATGAATCACTTTTGGAAATCTATATTAGCAACCCAATTCACAATATGTTTTTATTTACATCAGCATTTTCAGCATTTTGAAATGGATTGCAAGTTATACACAGTTCTGTACTTAATCAGTTTCATCACCCATTTGTTTTTATCAAACTTGCAATATCTCCTCTAAGGCTATTAAGTATTGTACATTATTTAATGTAAAATAACTATCATACACAGTATGATTGTTCAAATATCCAACTATTTTTAAAACACTATCTTTTAAAACTTACCTTTTGAGGGAAAAATCCATTTCTGAATTAACATGAAGATAACCACCTGACTTTTTTCCAGATACTGGTATTTTTACCTATAAAAGAAATCCTTCTGGTGAACTTTTGCAAATGTGAATTTTTATGAAGGTAAATTCTTAATGTAGATTTAAAATCTAGTGTCTTAAGCAAGTTATCTTCATTCAATCCGATTAACCACAGGCACTTCTTTAAATATGTACACATTGAGTTTCTATGCACACTAATTCTATTATCTGGCTGAACTACAGACTTTGTTTATCTATCCTAGTGGTTCCCAAAGTGGGCAGTACCACCCCCTGGTGGGTGGTGGGATACCTTAGTGGGGCGCTAAGAGGCAAGAGGTCTGGCAGGGGGGCGCTAAGAGGTGGCGGGGGGTGTTCGAGACACTGGCCCCGCAGGCTCACCCCATTGACTGTTGCACGGCTCTGGTGTCTCGAATGCAGCAGCGGTGGCACGTTGGGAAAGTAGAGCAAAGCCAGTGTGACTTTGCTCTATTTTCCCAATGTGCTGCTGCCGCATTCAAGGTGCTGGCTCTGCCCCACTCTGAGCCCCTTGCACCACTCTGGTGCAACAGTCAGTGGCATCTATGGATCACCTAGGGGGAGGCAGAGGAAGGGGGGCTTTGTCCACATGCCCAATATCTAGGATCCCGCTCAGCCAAGGCCGCCCCTCTTTGTAGTTGCCGTGCCTGGCAGCAAGTTCACAAGCTGCCTCTCCTGCCAGGGATCAGCCTCCCAAGCTGCCCCCCCTTCCGGGGTACTCAGGTCGTAGAGGGCGATGCTGTTCCTTCCTTCCTGGAGCTGGTACAGGGCAGGGTTGAGGAAGCCAAGGGCACGCAGTGGCGGCACATTGGGAAAGTAGAGCAAAGCCATTCTGGCTTTGCTCTACTTTCCCAATGTGCCGCTGCTGCTGCATTCGAGGCGCTGGCCCCACTGGCTCTCCCCATTGACTGTTGCATGGAGAGATGCAAGGGGCTCAATGGGCTGAGCCTGCGGAGCCGGAGCCTGGAACACAGCGGCGGTGGCACGTTGGGAAAGTAGAGCAATGCCACTCTGGCTTTGCTCTACTTTCCCAACGTACCGCCACTGTCGCATTCTCTTGGTTGCCTGTCTGCCTTCCTGCCTACCTACCTACCTGCCTGCCTGTCTATCTACCTACCTACCTACAAATCTATCTATCTATCATCTATCCATCCACCCAAAAGGTCTGTTTGTCTTTCTATCTACCTTACTACCTACCTGCCTATTTATCTATCTACCAATCTATCTACCTACCTACCTATCTACCTACCTACCTACCAACATATCTAGCTATCCATCCATCCATCCATCCAAAAGGTCTGCCTGTCTGCCTTTCTACCTGCTTGTCTGCCTGCCTGCCTCCTGCCTGCCTGCCTACCTATTTATCAATATATCTATCTATCTACATACCTACCTACCTGTCTCTCTCTGTCTTTCTCTCTCTATCCATACATCTATCCATACATCCATGTTCGAGGCGCCGGCCCCACAGGCACATCAGGAAAGTAGAGCAAAGCCAGTCTGGGAGGGTGAGAGGGAGAGGGAGAGGGAGGGAGGGAGGGAGAGAGAAAGAGAGAGAGAGCGAGAGCGAGCGAGCGAGCGAGAGCTGATGCATCAGATTGAAATGACGCCTAGTTTAGACTGAGCCCCTTTTCCACATTGAAACATCTTTGCCAGCACATTGAAACATCTTTGGCTTCTATTAAAGGTTTTGTGGACGAAACATGGTCAAGACTATCAGGAAGCTCTCTCATTTTGTTGAGGTTTTAAACAGGATCCATTGGACCAGATCTCTACCCTAAAAAAAAATACTTTTCCCCAATGTATTACAGTGCCAATTCTGAAGAAGGCAAAACCAAAATGTACTGGTAAATTACAAGGAGAACACCCCCCCCACCCCCCCACCCCCCCACACACTCCCTTCTAACCCTGCTGGAGCAGGTGATAGATATCTCATTATATTTCTCTCCCTCCCTCCCTCCTTCTTTATTTCTTTTTCTTTCTGTCCCTTGCTTCCATCCCCCCATCTTTCTTTGTCCCTTTTTCTTTCTTTCCCTTTTTCTTTTCTTCCTTCGCTCTTTCTCTCTCTCTCTCTTTTCTCTCGCTCTCTTTCCCTCTCTCAGGCTCACCCCATTGATTTGGTGCACCGCTCCACTCGGACTTGCTTGGGCAAGTCCCTCCGGTGCAGTGGGCTCAATGGGATGGACCTGTGGTGCCGACAACTAGAACGCAGCAGTGCCGGCACATTTAAAAAGTAGAGCAAAGCCAGAGGTCGGTAATTTTTGCTGCTAAGAATCACAAAAGCTTCTGGGCTGTGCACAAGAAAGGACATACATGTTAATGCAATTCAGCAACATAAAATAAAGAAATACAAATAAAACAATCAACAAGAATCGGCAAAGCATCTCTGATCAGATTTTATTTACTACTAGAATCTAATCAGAGATGCTTTGCCGATTCTAGTCCAATGACCTGCTCCAGCAGGGTTGGAAGGGAGTGTGTGTGTTTGTGTGTACATGACTGTCAAAATTCCAAAAACAGGTCAAGTAGCTCTGGGGAGGCCAGTCATAAATTAGAACACTTGCTAAACAACTGGCTATTAAGTGAGGACCACTTGTATTTGGTTTGCCAGTCACTTGGCCATGCCCACCCAGTCACATGACCAGCAAGCCACACCCACCCAGTCACATGGCCACACCTAACCGATCATGTGACCACCAAGCCACGCCCAGCAAGCAAGCCATGCCAGCCAGTCACACGACCAGCAAGCCTAGCCCACCCAGTCATGTGACCAGCAAGCCACACCCTCAAATTAGGCCACGCCCACAGAAATTCGAATCCCACCCCTGGGTGGGGGGCACCGATGAGTATGTAGCACCAAAGGGGCGGTGGACTGAAAAAGTTTGGGAACCACTCCTTTCCCATTTTGTTCACTATAATAACACCAAAACAGAGTACTTGTCATGACTGCAATGAGGACTTCCAATTCTACAAAAACGGTATAGATAGATAGATAGATAGATAGATAGATAGATAGATATAGATAGATAGATAGATAGATAGATAGATAGATAGATAGATAGATAGATAGATAGATAGATAGATATAACCATTCATTTAGCAACTGTTCAAAGTTACAATGGCACTGAAATAGGTGACTTATCACTGGTTTTCACACATACAACTTTTGCAGCATTCCTGTGGTCACATAATCAAAATGTGTATGCTTGGCAACCAATATGTATTTATGATAATTGCAGCATCTCAGCATCGTGTGATTGCCTTTATGACCTTCCCAGCTGAGTTATGACAGCAAAATTCAACGGGGGAAGCGAGATTTGTTTAATGTCTTCAGTGATTTGCTTAACAGCCAAGGCAAAAAAGGTCATAAAATCAGGCGCAACTCACTTAACAACCACTTTGCTTAGTAATGGAAATTCTGGTTCCAATTGCAATCATAAATGGAAAATTACCTATACGAAGTTTTTAAAATCTTTCAGACCAATGGTGGGAATCTTGCCTTCTTCCAATTGTTTCCAAATGCTTAACAGCCATAATTAACACAGCTGATAGGGAGTTCACAAAGATTTGGAAAAATAAAAATCCTTATTCTTGAATTCTGATCTAGTCAAGTCAGCAGCAATTTATTATATGGGTATCTAAATATATATAGGTCGAGATGTTCTTCCCATTTGCAAATTATCCATCCATATCAGTTGAAGCCAAATTAGTCTTGTACAGAATGAATCTACTGACTGAAGATTAGTCACATAACTCCTGAGGCCTAAGAAGAATATAGATTTTTTAAAAGGAAGATATTAGGAGACATAGGCCAGGATACAAACATATATTATTTATTTATATATTTATTTTATTCATTTAGTCATGTTTATGTAGTATATAATGGAGGTGGTGATCCTTTGAGTGCTGTATGCAACAAAATTTCATTTTAATGTATGCTGATTAGCATGCATTGAAAGTGACAAGTTATTGTCCTGTTCTGTACTATCTTGATTCTGTTTTGTTCTGTACTGTACTGTTCTGTTCTGTTCTGCTCTATTCCATTCCATTCCATTCCATTCCATTCCATTCCATTCCCAATGAGTGATCATTCTCAGCAACACTGCACTTCCATTCAGTTGCATGCTAAAATTTCCTTGTTAGATGGACAAGTTATGTGGAAAGAACCAATTTCATTTTCCTACAATTGCAAAGGATTTAATGTTTATATACTTTGGCTGTTGTTGTTGTTGTTAATTTTCCAACCAAATTAATATCACAATGTAATCAACTGAGTGTTATAAGCAATGATTCAGATCCTGGCCAAAGAATTAAAGTACTACTGTACTACTGTAAAATGTATACTGTGACAAGGTAATCTTTTGCAACTTAATACATTAAGTTTAAAATTTAGTTCAAATCAGTTTCGTCTCATATAAATAGTGAAACCATTAGTCTAAGACCACTTACATTAGTTTCAAAATCTATATAAGCAGTGGTGGCATTCAAATTTTGTTACTACTGGTTCTGTGGGCGTGGCTTGGTGTGGCTTGGTGGGCATGGCATGGCTTGGTGGCAGCGTGGCAGGGGAAGGATACTGTAAAATCCTCATTGCCTCCCCATTCCTGGGGGAAGGTTACTGCAAAATCCCATTCCCTTCCCACCCCACTAACCTGCTTCCCAGCTCCGTTCTCCTGTGCAGGGCAACAAAACACAACCCAGCTGATCAGCTGGGACTCAGGAGGCAGAGAATAGATGGGGGTGGGGCCAGTCAGGTATTTGCTGGTTCTCTGAACTACTCAAAATTTCCACTACCAATTCTCCAGAACCTGTCAGAACTGGCTGAATACCACCTCTGTGTATAAAGTATCTTACTAAAAGTATCCCTTACTTGCTGACTGCCTTGTTTAACAACTATTTGAACCATTGTAACCACAACTTATAATGGTGTAAAAACCCAGGTTCGACAACCATCACAATGTCCTATAATCACAATCATCATTTGTGTGCTTTGTAACCAGATTGCAATAAGCAGTTAACAGAGAACTCACAAATAAAATTGTTCAGTTAGTCATGTAATATTTCATTTCACAATAGAATGGGACATGATGCCATAAGTTCATTGTGGTTATGTGATTTTCTGCTTAGCAACTGTGATTCTTGATGATAGACTTGCCTGACCCAATGGTAGTCAGTAAGCAAGAACTACCTATATGAGATTAAATAAAGACCTTGAAGATATTAGGAAGCTTAGACAAAGTTTAAAATGTGTTCATATGGAGCCTCTTTTAAAATCAGCATGACAGCTAATTTTTTACACATTATTACTACTATAACTACAAGTATTACTGTTTTAAATTACTGAATAATATTCAATAATTCCAAATTTTCAGGAATCCTGCCCCTGCTACTTAGAATAATATCATTTTCTGTATTAACTTTAAAAACATCCTTTAACATCCTAGTCAAACTGAAACTGTTTTTTGTTCTTTGTCATGATTCATGTTTCTTTTATTTCTACATCAGCTCTTAATGCATCTGCCGATTACCTGGGCTGTTGACTTATCAACACGGTTGCTCTTGTCTCTCAAGCTGATGTAGTGAACTTTCAGAGGGGGAGCACCAAGTGCTTCTAGGGCTAAGGGGTCTGCTTCAAGTTGCTTAAGAGCATCCTGATAGTATTTTGTTCTAGAGAAAACCCCTGAATAAAAAAGCAAAAAAAGAGAAACAGTATAATTTTGGACAAAATATCGAAAAGAACACTGTTAAATGTTAATCAAACCCAGAAAGGCATCCAACTGATGCTCAAGCCAAGAAAGTTAAAGTGCTGGGAGTCTCCTCGAGTTTTCTTCCCTTTACATCCTACAGGTGCTTTTTTCAAGAGGCAACTGGACTTTCTTTGTTTTTGCCTCTTATCCATGTTTTTGCCTCTTATCCATGTTTTGCTTCTTATCCAAGAAGCTTCTTCATATTAGAAAATCACTTTGCATTAAGCAAATAGGGGGTTTGTTGTTCTTTGCTCCTCCATTTCAAATGTGCAGGGCCTGACTAAAACAAGGATTGAATTGTTTACTTCCCATCTTGGAATAGAGTATTCAAAAATATCAGAGGAACTAAAGTGACTGTTGCAAACCACATTCTTTCTATTTCATGTAATTATTTCATTTTCCTTTCTATCAAGAGTACCCTGTGTTACTCTCTGCTTTAAAGTTCTCGATTCATATCTATAGACTGCGAGATGATATCCCAAGGCTAAGATTCATAGGCCTCTCAAAAATCAGGCAGAGAAGTTTTAGAAGATGTACCAAATGGAAAATCTCCTTATTCTTGAAATATCTCTTCAGAAATGAGGCAAAGTTCACCAGCATCACAATTGGATTTTTGTTAATTTCTTCTATTACAACTAATGAAAAAGGAATAAAAGTAAGTCAGTAGAAACAAAGAAGTGGGGGGGGGGGGGAAGAAACCCTCTTTTTTGAAAATTGGTTATCCCTTTCAATAAATTCTTCCACCAGAGTCATCACAGCTGTCTTACATCTTCATAAATCTTTTAAAAAAACAAGATACCACTGTTTATTTGGCTAGAATTTGCTTAGAGTTAGGAAATAGAAAAGGCCTTTCAGTTGTCTTCCATAGTTAGTTTTTCAGCAATGAAAAACTAACCAGCAATGAAAAACTAGCCTGGAAGAGCAACATTTAGCACAAATGCAGACCCAAAAGGTTCAGTTAACCTGATTGACTGATTGTGTGATAATTCTGACCTGTACTGAAGTTTTAAAAATTTGTAAGAAATTTTAACCCCCAACATATATCAGATTATTCTGGATTTTTATATACTTACCCACCACTTAGTCAGGTAAATTTGGAAATTAAATTTCTCCATTGGTGCTTTGGAACTATTAGCATTGACACTAACACAATATTTTTGCTTCTAGTGCTGCTTGCCCTTTGGGAAAATCAGTTCATTGGTTGGCAATCCAACAGCAAGCAAAGAAGAACACGATTTTTAGTAATGTTTACCAACTATGGGTTTCTTGTGTTCTATTGTTCTATTTCTTGTGTTCTTGTGTTCTACAAATGGTGAGTCATATCTCGCTCTGTTCATGAAAGCAGAGCATGATAGCAAAATCTACATTTATATAATTGTTTTGGCAGAACAACAGAACTTTGTTGCATCATATACTTTTTCCCCATAATGTCGGGCTTCGACCCTGCCACCAATATCGGCCGACACATTACCCTAGCGGTTCCTGATGGTCCCGGGTCCAGACGCCCCAGCCGCAACGCCTTGCTTCATGCCCACCAGCTGGGAAGCTTTGTATGGACCCGACAAATTACCCTGAATGGTCCTGATGATCCTGTCTTGCCTCGTGTCGGCGCGACCAGCTGGGGAGCTTTGCATGGACTCAGCTGTTTGGTGGTGTGCGTTCCTTTGGGCATGCTCCTGCCTGCCTTCGAACGGACCTGTCAGCCGTTGGGCGGTGGGCGTTCCTCCCTCTTTTCAGTGCCACCAGGCAGGAAGCGTTTCACACTGGCAGCTTTGGGGATTACTATGGAATTGGTGGCACAAACGGCGGGGTGGGATGGGGCTCGGCATGGGGATTAGCTTGGAGATAGTTTTGCGGGGTGGGGGCGTGCAAGGTAGCTAGGGAAGGATGTTGGATAATTAAGCGTTTCCAGGGGCGGACGTTAGATAATTAAGGGAAAAAGACTATAAACAGCGCTGAGAGGCAGACGCTCTCAGCACTGGCTTTGCTCGGGAATTACCATTTGTTGCTGATTGTTGGAGGAAACAGACCACAATAAACAAGTCTTGCCACAAACAGAACGTGAGTAAAGTAGTTCATTGGTGAAGTTTCATCGTGTTCCAACGGAAGCTGACACATTAGCTTGAATGAGGGATAGAAAATTATTTTTGCAGCAAAAGATGTATAGCTACTGTTGTGGATACTCTTTTGATATATAAAATATTAACTTATGTAGGAATACTTTAAAAATAAGGTTTATACTTTAAAAAAATGGTTTATAAAATCCATTATCAGCTGAGGTTATTTATATGTTTTTGTTGTTGAAAATGTATCACAAATAACTTGGGATTCTATAAAATCAAATAATTTTCAAAAGGATTTTAACTACAAAACACACACCTTCTAAACTTTGAATATGAAAAAATAAAGTTTCATGTCACAGCCCTCATGTGCGATTTGTATACCTTGTTGAGAGAAAATGTATGCCTTATTTCTTATAATTTATTTTACATCTCAAGCGTTGTCAGTCAGACCCATGTTCAAAGCAAATTTTGGATTTGTAATTATCAATATATATTCTTTCGAAGTACCATTTATAAAATTGGGAAGTTTTTCACCCCAATGGGATTGGCCTATCTTATGCAGGCCAGTAGGAGTGTATCCCAGACCCTGTTGGTCAAGGAATTCTAGCTGGCAAGGTCCAAGAGAAGAACCTTTTCTGCCAAGGCTCCTGCCCTCTGGAACATTATGCCCCCAAGGCGAGATTTCATCCCCCCTGGCCTTCCACATAATAATCATAAAATCTGGCTCTGCCAATTGGCCTGGGGTCCTGATCGGAGATATTCTGTATTGGAGCTGGTTAGTAGACGGAGAGAGGATTCTGCCTCCATCTTGTTTGCATTTGGCTTTCTTCTTCAGCTATTTTTGCTAACTTTAATGCTAATGCTTATCATTTTAATATTTTATGTTGTTTCTATTTTATTGTAAGCCACCTAGAGTCTTCTGATGGCAAGATGGATGGCAAATAAATAAAATGTTTAGAAGGTCAAAGTCCTCCAACTATTAGCAAAATCAGAAATATTTAGCTGGATAGTATAAAAAAGGATTCCAAGTAGAGAACATAATATTTGGTTGAACCTCATATGAATAGGTAGGGATATTATTTTTAAAATCTCCCCATCTAAAATTTTATTACAGATAGAAAATGTTAAATAATGGGTTGATAGAAGAGACAGAGAAAGATCTTCGATAATAACTCTTTATTTGCAAAAGCAAAACCCAGCAAGGAGTCTGGCTGACAGCGCACCTTTTATAGCAAACTGTCAGCTGACTCAGCCAATAGGAACGAATTGATTTTCCCGCCTTGGAGGCGGACCTGAGTGAAGCCTTTATTCACTGGCTTCACTCCTCAATCTGAATATGTAACAGGAAACAATATTTCCAAGAAGAAATGTTAGTCCAATTCTTTGCCCACCATGCTGGCTTTCTGTTTGTAAAAAATTTTGAGTGTGGAAAAATGAGTAGGTCCCTGCACTTATAGTCTAAGAGGGTGCAATTCAATACATCAAGTTAATGCACCGACACTCCCTTTATAAATCAGTTTCAAATTGCTACCTATGATGGAACTTACTTTGTACATAGTAGTATGTAAAAGCACCTGCTGTAATACATTGAACACCCATAAAAAGAGCCATTTGCTGAAATTTTCTTAAGGACATATTTTATTTCCTAGGGAGAAAAAAGTTGGAAAATGAATTATTGTGCATGAGAAAAACCAGGTAATTATGTTAATTCATTTTCAATATTTCCACAAGACTGGCCTGAATGAAAGCCCTCCACATAGCATTCTGTATTGGTTCTCTCAGAGAGAATATCCCAAAGGAAAACTGAGCAGACCAAATCCATTTATACATTTCTTTCAAGGATGTCACTATTTCACTAATTATTGGGGGTGAAAATGACATTTCTGTATAGCTAGTAGTCAGAAATGTAGCCTGGTGTTCCTATGCCTTTGCATATAGATGATTAAGAAGCCCTGATTATTCCTAAAAATGACAACATTATAGCCAGAAACAGGAATTTATTTGGCAAAATGATTACACCTTCTGAAATCTCTCTTTTTCTTACATCTCTCAGCTAAAACCGAACATAATCTACTGAATCATATTTTAAGGGGATAAAACAAGAGGGAAAGTGCAAATATTTTGCATGTGTAATGTGAGAATGCTCAGGAACATGAACATTCATTCTTTTGCTCCTTCCAAGATGAAGTGCTGTGGCTTTACACATGCTTTTATACATTAGTAAAAATGCAACAATAACCTCTAAATATATAACTTTATCTTCTTAGTATATTCCTAAAAGAATAGGTTAGGGACAGATTGCCATGGAGAAAATTGATGTGGTTTCTAAAAGTTAAAAAATTACTTGATGATGTATAATCAATCAATCATCAATCAATCAAATCTAATGACATTATAACATACCTTGTCAAGGTCTTCCCAGGAAGTTCTTCAATTGTCTTGGTTAAGAAGAATTATTCTGGAATTTAAAAGTAGTTACATACATCAGTATCTTTAAGTTCCTTTAGAACAGGTCTGGAAAAAAATTGCATCATATCTTCCTCCTCTCCTATTAACCAATATTACCCAATTTGGTGTCCCCTAGATGTATTGAGATTACAACTCTCAGAATTCAAGACCGGCTTTGCAAAAAACTGATGTTGCTGAAAAAAATATGAACCTGAATATTTTGCAACATCCCTTTTAAAAAATATTTTCCAAATGATGCAGTTCTAAAAGCTGGAAAATAATATTTCAAACTGGCCAAGAAATTGTTCTGTGGGTGTTCAACATCCACCTGGCCAGCATAAATATGGAGAAAAAAATGTACTCCAACTTCTAGAAAGTACAATTATCCATCCCTGCTTTAAATTGTGAAAACCACATACATAATTGCTATTCTCCTTAACTGTTTGAGCTTTCCAAGGCCACTTCCCCTCTTTTAACCGAGCCTATCTCCCTCTTTATTTGAGTTCCAGATATCTGAGAATAATTGTGTCCTTGGGTGAAAAACGTTCCAAATGGAGCAGGTGGTAAAGCTATTTCCACCTTTTCCTGAATGAAGAGATTGGCCTATGGCTAGACTGATTTGCAGCATTTAAGGTGCTTCAATTAACCAACATGAACGATGTACTATTATCCAAATTGTAACTTGAGATAAAAATACATAATTGAATAAATTAAATCCAAAATGTGCAATATAAACAGTTATGTACATCAAAGAGAAATATTCTGAAGAAACACAATCAACAATCAGGTAAAACAACAGTTAGATATAAAAATTGACATTAAAAAATATATGAACACAAATATACAAAGCCTGGGCATAAAGATAATAACTGTGTCAGGTATGGCTCCATTCCACATCCAAGAAAGAAAACCTTAGACTCCCATCTTTATAGAGAAAAGGACTTTTACTGAAATTGAAGTGGTAGCAACAGAAGAAATAAAAGATCTGAGGCAAAAGGTGCAGAAATTACATATAGAAAGTTATGACATGTCCCCACCCCCAACAATTCAAACAGGACATCCAACCTGAGGTATGTATAATGTCATGTGGGTATATCTTCAGGTGGAGTCTCAGACATCTGGTATGCCAAGACAGTTGATCTTGGCCTGGAAAGATAAGTGACTGCATTTGTGCAGTAAGCAAGAAAGCATCCCAACTTTTACAATTCACACTTCACCTCCAGCACCCTTCCCCCCATGAGGCCCAATAATCCCCTGTGCCAGTTTCTATGGCAGCTGGAAAGAGTCAAGCAGAAGACAGAATCTTGGAGGCTGACAAACTGCTGCTTTCATAATGGAGTCATCTAAGTATGTCTGTGGTAATCTAAGATACCAGCACTTTGAATGGACTTCTAAATAACCTGTGATAGGCCCATGGCTGTCATGGTAGCTATAAACTCTAGAGCCACCTCAGACCCTATTTCAAGGGAAGGCAGTTTAAAGTGCCTGCAAACCACCAGCCAAATCCAGAAACAGAGTGAAAGGAGTTCAAGCAGAGAGGTTGCTGTGCAGCGGGGGTGTGTGTGTGTGTGGGGTGTGTGTTAGTACTAAAATAACAGTCCCAACTGATCTCTACAGCCCAACTTAAACATAAAGGATCATACAACTGGTGATTTGTGATCTGTGAAAATTATAAAAAAATATGATTTTCCCTCATGAATGACCCTGCACCCTTGCTAAAATGAAATAACAATAGAAATAGCAAGCTTACATACCATCCATAGTGATCAAACTCCTGCATTCTAACCACTGTGCCACCATGGCTCAATTGCAATTCAGCTGGCAAATTTTGGAAAAGGCAACTCCCCTTTTAGAATCCACACAGATCTCGGTAATACCTCAACTAATAACCACAATTGAGCTCATAAATTTTGTTGCTAAGTGAATTTTGCCCCATTTCATGACTTTTCTTGCCACATTGTTAAAAGAATCACTACAATTGTTAAATTAGTAACTGCAATTGTTAAATTAATATTAAGTGAATCTGGCTTTTCTATTAACTTTGCTTGTCAGAAGGATCACATGACGCTGAGACACAGCAACTATCATAAATATGAACCAGTTGTCAGAGGGCGGAGCTGGCGTTGCGGCGGTTGGACAGGCGATCTTGATCCTCCAAGATCATCGTTGATATGCTGGTTGACCCCCATGGACCTAAACCGTCCCATAGAGACAGTGATTGACAAGGGCACGTCCTGTTGATCCCAGGGACATCGCAAAGTTCCTGGTTGATCCAGGGAAAGCCCTTTTTGCCGGTGGCGGAGAGGCAGCCTTTCAAGCTGCTGAAGCTGGGACAGCTCTGGAACGGAAGAGATGGGGCGTTGGTCCTACCTGAACGCTTCTTCTCGGGGAGCCGAAGGGAGAATCCAGGCTGGGTAGTCTCTAGTCTCCTAGCTCTGTAGACCAAGTTTAAAAACTGAGGACACACCCCCTGGTAACGGTCCCCAGTTCTGAACGATGTTGAAGCGAATTCAGCTGCTCCTTGTCTTCAAACAGACAGTTCATTGATACTGTGAAAAAAAGGGATATTTCCTCCCTATTCCGACCATACAGAATACAGGGTGGGACTGGATTCTCCCTTCGACTCCCTGAGAAGAAGCATTCAGGTAGGACCAACGCCCCTTCTCCACTGAGCCGAAGAGAGAATCCAGGCTGGGACATACCAAAGCTGGCTGATGGCTGTCCTACGGGTGGGAGCTGGATTGGTCGGAAGTCTCCACCTCTACATGCACACCCTGGAGGACTCGTCTTCCAAATGACGCCTCCGCTGAGGCAAAGGAGTCAATTTTGTAATGTCTTATGAATGGGGTCACCGATGACCAGGTCACAGCTCTACAAACGTCCAGAATCAATGCCTGCATTGCCCAGGCTGCGGTGGTTGCTGCACTTCTGGTTGAGTGCGCTGTGATCCTCCTGGGCACAGGAAGGTTCTGTAACTCATAGGCCCGTGCAATGCAGGCTCTGAGCTAGCGACCTACTGTGGAAGGTGTCACCCTGCGACCTAAAATTGACGGCTGAAAAGAAACAAACAAGGCTTCCGTCCTCCTAAAAGAAGACGTTCTTTTAATGTAAATACAGAGGGCCCTCCTAACGTCCAAGGTGTGCCATTTTTTCTCTAGTGCATGGGTAGGCTCAGGGCAGAAATTAGGCAAAATCAACTCCTGGGAACGATGGAATAAGGGTTAGGGTTAGGGTCTCGCAGCTGCCACGGTGCTCTGGGGACTGGTTGGGGGATTGGGATTGAATCCCAATGGCCAAACCCCCCCAAACTGCAAGATTACCCCCAAATGAAATAAATGACCTCTGCCACCAAAAAGGGACAGAAGTGCTTAGCGGCAACTGCGGCTCATCCTGGGCAAGGGAAAGTGGATCGGTAGGAGGCGAGTTCAATAAGACGCCGGCTCTCACCCCAGCCCGGGCCACATGGGCTCTCAGGGTCACCTCCACTCCAGTTTTGATAGGAAACAAAACAAAAAAATCAGTCCACCAGCAAGGAAAGTCAAAAATTAAAATAACAAGCAAAAACTGCGAACCCGAAAAAAGGCACGAAAAAATGAAAGTGCTAAACCAGCAAGCCGGCTAGCTGTCAAACCTGATCTAAGCCTCTCTGCGAAAAAAAAGCTTAATCCAGGGGGTGAATATTCTTCTACAATCCTAACTATTCAGAGCCCTTAAAGGGAGGTCTGAACATGCTGAGACCGAGTGAAGAACTGGGGACCGTTACCCGGGGGTGTGTCCTCAGTTTTTCAACTCGGTCTGCACAGCTAGGAGACTAGAGACTACCCAGCCTGGATTCTCCCTTCGGCTCAGTGGAGAATGGAAGAAAGTGTGTCAGTTTGGTGAGATGAACTTTTACTTATTATTTCTTGGACAGAACAACATGAAAAAATTAAAGTGGACTAAAAGTGAAGAGAAAAGAGTTTAAGCGGCGTGATTAATTGTCAAAGTGAAAGTTTTTTTCTTTTTTTCCCTTTTTATTGGAACTTTGAACTTGGCAAAGCTGTTCAACTTTAAGCTGGACTGGTACTTTTTAATCTTTTTATTTCTGTTTGTATTTCTTTCTCCTTTTTTTAACAATCCTATTGAAAACTCTTTTTTGATTAAGACTCTTCTGCTTGATTTAAGATTTATTTTTCTCCCTTTAAAAAAAAAGGGGGGGGGAGATTTTACTTAAGTAAGTTTACATAAGTAAGTAGCACTGCCGCCCAGAGGCTTGGATATATTGTTTCTTTTTTCCCACTAGTTTGTGTTACAATCAAGGACTCTGAGCTGTGTATTGGAAAAGATAGAGATGAGCATGGTAGTTTGTTTATTCAGGTGCTCATTTGTGAACAGATAGCTGGAGTTGAAGTTGAAAGAAAGAAGATTGAAGTGACCTTGAAAAACTCTGAGCTGATTTATCAAAGAGCCTTGGATATTTGGCAGCAGAGGCTTGTTTTATATTAGAATTGCTTTTTACTTTTTGCCTCCCTTTCTACCCCCCCATTCCACTAGTTCGGGCTTTTTTTCTCTTTAATTGGATTTTGACTTTTTAAACCAGGAACCAGAATGTAAATCTTTTATTTTTGTTTTCTTTTGTTTATTAAGAAGAACATATAGAATATTTCTCTTTCTCTTTTTTATTGTTGATTTTTTACTTTTTACATTTACCATTGTAACTAATTGGATTAAAGTATACAAGTGCCTGAAGACTTTCTTTTTCCTTTTTTCCTTTGGAGTGGCAACTATTTGCCTTCGTCTTTTTTTTTCTTTTTTTCCACTTTTTCTCTCTCTCTCTTTCTTTACAGATAAGTATTATAAGATGAGTAGAAAGACAACAGCTCCAGCTTCTTTGATACCAACCCCCTCACCATCTGAAGGACAACGATCTATACAGACAATATTGCAACAGGAAAAAGAGAAAGAGAAGGAAATGACATTACAGATGATTATGCAAGGAATCCAGAAGATTGAGCAAAAAATTGAAAAGACAGATGAGAAAGTGGAAAAATATTCAACAGATGATGATGATGAAATATGAAGACAGATTTTAAAAATTGAAGAAGAAGATATACAAAGAGATAAGAAAATTGGAGACATTGATATTCGATTGAGTGATGTCGAGAAGGGCAGATGTGAGCCATTAGGATGGGAAATAGATAAATCAGAAATTTATTTAAGATTTCAAAATATAGAAGAAGGAAAAGGTGAAAACCTTGCTGAAATAATAGCAGAAATATTGGCAGAAGCACTGGAAATAACCAAAGAAAAGATGATGGATGGGATGGATGAAGTGTTTTGTGTCTATACAAGATATGCAACAAGGAATAGACTACCAAGAGAAGTTCACATTAGATTTACTAAGAAGATTATTAAGACACAGCTACTCCAGGTGGTGAGAGAGAAAACACTAAAATATAAAGACAAAGAAATTGTGGTGCTGAAACAGATATCAAGAAAAGTAAGAGAGATGAGAAGAGAATATTTATTCTGGACTAAAGAGTTACTTAAAAGAGGAGTAAACTACAGATGGTTGATGCCAGAAGGCCTCTTGTTCACTTGGCAGGAACAAAGACACAGAACTGACACAGTTGAAAAAGCTGAGCTATTCTACTTAGCATACTTTAGAGGAAAGGAGGAAGAAGAAAGGAAGGAAGACTCACTGATTGAATTTCAAGAGGAGTGTATAGCAGTAATTGAAAAAGAAAAAGAAGAGGTTGCAGTAGGCGGTGAACCCAGAGAACGAGAATTGAGATCTACTAGAGCAATTAAAACCCTCTTATAAAGCTTAACATGGATGGAAGAAAATTGATTTCAATTAACATAAATGGACTTAATTTGGCTACTAAAAGGAAACTATTTCACAAATTAGAAAAATTAAAATTTGACATAATCTGCTTACAAGAAGT